GTTAGGTTGACCATATAAATATGGTTTAATCTTTGTAATTAGTAGAAGGGAGCTAATTGTAATATTCAGATTAATAATAGAGGTTTGACTGAATTGAGAGGGTTGACTTTTTCTCTCAAGGATCTTAATGTTCTTAATGTCATATTCCAGATCTGCCATCATGATTATGAAGATATTAAAGAATTGATCAGTGATTGTGGACACACAGCTGATCACTTTGAAGTGTTAATATTAGATCCTTGATCCAGAGATGGACGGATCTGAAATACGGCTTAGATGATGCACAAAGATTTGAGAGAGTCTTTGATAATCACGCAGAGATGCGAGTTTTGCATGTTTTTAGTTAATGTTCAGATATTAGTCGAGTTTATACGACAATGAGTTGTGAGTATAAATCTTCAGGCTAGTGGAACCAGATATCTTTTTATCTATTAGCTGATTCGGCAAGCTTAAGGTTGATAAAACTGGACGCTTTGTGGGCACTCTGTGGGCACAGTATATAAGAGTTCACTTTCGAGAGATCGAAGTTCTTATAGAAGTCCCATGAGTTCCTGACCAAACTGTTCCAACAATGTTCTTAAGGGAAGCTTACATCCATACCCATCTTTTAATATTAAAAGTTTATTTCATATTTTAACGCTTTGCACCAATCAAAACTCAAATATTTTCTCAACCCGAAACATGTTCAAGAAGTTCATGAAAATCTCAGATTCTCAGTAAGTCCAGTCCCTGTGGAAACGATCTTGGTACTATACCATTTTATTACTTGAAGCGATCAGAGTGTCGGCGTGCACTTGCACCGCCACTTTGGGGTTTTTGTGCTCACTGTGTGCACACTTATGATCATAACGCATCAATGCCTTTGTGTCAAATAATGGGGCTTGCCTCATAGGGTTGTCTTTCTTTTGATGACCCTCTTTGAAATCTATAACCATGGTTGGAAACCAAAGAAACCAAAGGGTTTGCCTCATAGGGTTGTCTTTCTTTTGATGACCCTCTTTGAAATCTATAACCATGGTTGGAACCCAAAGAAACCAAATGGTAGAAATTATAGTGCAAAATTAATTATATTATATTATTATATCTTTATATATATATATATATATATATATATAGGAGCGTTCAAATGAAAACCCTCTCCATTTGTGTAAACCGTGTAAACCAATCTCAACCATCCATTTTCTTGATCAATGGTCAAGATTTGTAGGCTTTATTTATGGAAATTAAAAAAATAAAAAATAAAAATCCAGTTTATTTCATCAATAAGGGTAGAATGGTAAACAATAATTAACAATTGGTAAGCTCCTAATCGTAATCTTTCCGATTGAATCCCGTCTTCATCGCTTACATTCCCCCAAATCAGGCGAATGTATCCTTTCTTCCCCATCGAATATAGTGTTTCCAAAATCATCGATCATCAGAATATTCAAGAAAAATGGTCGGCAATAATGGAGGTATGTTATATTAATTCATGATACATATATTTCAAAAAGAACAAAACCCATTATGCACCCGTTTCATGACCATTCTAACAACTGAACGGATTATTTAGAAAATGAAAACGTTTAGAAAATGCAACATGGATCACAATGAAAGTAGTGCATTAATCTCGAATTATTTARAAAATGAAAACGTTTCATTATCATGAATCTATTTCATTAACTATTTTCCAATGAAACCTTTTCACCTTCAAATTCTTACATGCAGATTAATTTCATAACGAACAAAATCCATTATGAATTATTTCATTAGCTATGAATCTATTTCATTATCTATTTTATTAAGTTTTTTACATGAATATATTTCATTACATATTTTACATGAAACTATTTCATTAACTATTTTATTAACTATTTTACATTAATATATTCCATTATGCACCCATTTCATGATACGTATATTTCAAAAAGAACAAAACCCATTATGCACCCGTTTCATGATCATTCTAACAACTGAACGGATCAACTTCAGATACAATGCATCATGGATCACAATGAAAGTAGTGCATTAATCTCGAATTACTTTATTAACTTTTTTACATGAATCTATTTYATTACCTATTTCACATGAATATATTTCATTAACTATTTTTTTAACTATTTTACATGAATCTATTCCATTATGCACCCATTTCATGATACGTATATTTCAAAAAGAACAAAACCCATTATGCACCCGTTTTATGACTATTCTAACAACTGAACGTATCAACTTCAGATACAATGCAACATGGATCTCAATGAAAGTAGTGCATTAATCTCGAATTGTTAAGAAAATGAAAACGTTTAATTTTCATGAATCTATTTCATTAACTATTTTGCAATGAAACTTTTTCACCTTCAAATTCTTACAGCAGATTAATTTCATGACGAACAAAGTCGATTATGCAATATTTCATTAGCTATGAATCTATTTCATGAATCTATTTTATTAATTTTTTTACATGAATCTATTTCATTAACTATTTTATTAATTTTTTTACATGAACAAGATATCCAACAGATTCATTGCATTGCAAATAATTAAAAATAAAGATTTTAATAATATATTATAATAAAAGTTTGAAACGTTACCATTTTTCATATTTTCTTCTATTAAATTGCCTTAAATAAAATGTATTACTAACCTCCTTAATTATCAAAAAATTGTGTAAAATGACATAAATAACCTTATCAATTAAATTTAATTAAAAAAATAGAATTTTCTTATTGGTCGAAATTGGTTTACACGGTTTTTTAGAATTGGATGGTTCGCATTTGAACCTGCCCCTATATATATGTGTGTGTGTGTGTGTATTACAATTTCACTAATTGTATTTTATTTAACTTTTTCGAATTATTTGAATACTATTTGTTGATGATTTTATTAACAACTAATATATATATTTATATAAACAATCTTCAGATCATTAATCAAAGTACCCATACTACCGCGCAACGCGCGGTTCCCATACTAGTTTGTCTAATACATGATCCAACACTAGTTATTTCTTTCGAGATGTAGCATGGAAGACAAAACATATACATGTTCCGGAGTCCTTTCTTGTGGCTATGCACGAAGACAAGAAAATTTCACTTTTGAAGATACACACAAATGAGAATGCGACAGATACGTTTACAAAGGTATTGTGTTCGACGAAGTTCGAGCATTGATTGAAGCTTATTCATTTGCTCAAGTGTTAGTGTCGCAAGGCAGCAATGTGGTTAGATTGATGTGTAGGTTCGTATGAGGTTGAGTCGAGTTTATGATCAAGATTGTGGTTTGTGATTGGAGATATGTCACTTCTGTTTAGGATTTGCTTGTTGACGGGTGATTGCCATACCGAAGCTTGTTAGCACATGAATCGTTTGTGTTGTCTATCTCATCTTCATGTTTGTGGTGCGTAGGTTAGCTTGTGACTTGGTATCAAGGAAGGATTGTTGTATTTTAATGTGACTCCAAGACCCAAATTGAAGCTTAACTCAAGAAGGTGTTTTTTGGTGCTAAAGGGTGGGTTGCTATAATGACAGATGGAGGATAGCGAGGCAAGATCGTACCAGAAGAGGGGTCTCGCTATGCGATTATGTCATGCTAGAGTGCTCATAGCACAATCGTGGGTTGGATCGCGCCATAAGAGGGGGACTTGGTACAGTTGGTGCAATTGTGCCATGCTATAGTGCTCATAACGCAATCGCGAGGCAAGATCATATGTTGTAGCCTTGGGTTAAAACCTAACTTTTGGGTTTTTTTTGTTAAGTATAGACTTCAGTGTCCTTTTTTTATTAACCTGGGTATCTAACCTGTTATGTGAGCCGACTAATCCTAGGACAACCACCTGCTTTGCAGATAGCCCGGAGTCACTGCATTTGAACCTCCGTGGCCACAAGAAGATTTTTATTTCTACTTAAATTTAAACCTGAGACCTCCTGATACTTTTGACATTTGAAACCAAACTCAAACCAATCATAGACCCATGTTTTTACTCCTCATCAGAAGATATGATAGAGAACTTGAAAGTTGAAACGGCTTCACATGAGGTTTGAGTTTTAAAAGAAGAAATGTCGTTGACTAAGTCAAACTTGGATCCTAGAAGTTGATCAATCCAACGGTTCAAAAACTAAGTCAAACCCTTGACTAAGTTGTACCTGAACACCACCGGAACAAAACTTTCATTTCTCTTTATAGCCCTCTTTATCTGTCCGTAACTGAAAACAGAATACTGACAGAGCTCCTTCGACGGAATCATCACCTCCTCCGCCCATCCACCGTTTTCCGTAAACCAAATTATTGGCCACGAGGATGCATATTGTATTTTGACGTAGTATATGTGAGGAGGTTGAAGAACACAGCGGTAACGGAAAATATACGAATTTGCAGTGAGTAACAGTAATTCATCGGGGTTCGGATCGGCTACTAAGTTCTCTCCTCTGTGGTGATGGTTGCAAGGACGAACTTAATTAGCCGTCGGACGGGACAGAGGTTCCCGCAACCGGCGATTTGGGCCGTTGGCTCAGTCAAGATCAAGTTGTTACTTTTTAGTTGCTTTCTTCTGACGTTGATCGTACTGGCAAGCCGAACGCCGTCATTTTTAGGTTGGGAGCATCAAAGCATTCCTCCTCGTGATCGAACATCGAGGTTAATTAAGTATTTAATATTAAATATATAAGAATTATTATCTTCTGATCTGCATCGGTTGCTCTACAGTTTTGTTTCTCAAATGGTAAATTTGAAAATTAATCACTATTCCAGTGATATAAAACTGTCATACTCTCCCTATATACAGATATTTGTCTGTGAATTTTCGGTGAGTTGAATAGTCAATTACTCTAACTTTCTGTGGTTTTTGTTAATTCTCTGTCGTTTACTTGAGTATATGTTGTACCATTAACTTATCCCTTTGTTAACTTATCACTGTTATGACCTTTAGCTACTTCTGGTACTCAAATTTGACCAACTACCCATATTGCCTCTGTTTTATGCCCTTGAATACTAGCCAGATCTCAAATTTCAGAAACTCATTGCTGAATATATAGATGCATTGACCACAACCTCATTAGTATTGCTGTGTCTGATGCCTCCTGTGTTATAAGCTCTATCCTACTTATGCTGTCTGCAGTCCTTTGTTATGTTCACCACTGGCCAATAGCAAATATGACAATAAGAATGAAAGAGAAAAAGCTTTTCTCTAATTGTTGGATGAACTGAATTAGTAGTTTCAGTTATGCTTGGTTAGTTCATTTAGAGAACGTAGATAAACTTATTCATGGATTTAGACTGCAGAACTTAACAAGAGTACTGTTATTGCCCAAACAACAAGAAAGAAGGCTTCTTTTCTGGGATTAATTCTTAATTTTTTTCGACTTTTAGCTTCTATTTTCCATTTCATTTGCCTTTGAACTTGTAAACCTTTAGAAAATATATTGCTGTCACTGGCCCATTTTGTGTTGACGATAAATTTTCCTAGATTATTCATATGCATACAAGCATACAACAGTGGGTCCATGATAGTTCTCTTTTAAATTGTTATACATCCACAGTACTAAAGCTTCAATCTACACTCTCCACTTGATTAATGTGTACGACACTTTATATTCAACTTCAGGTATCCGGGGGATCATTGTTCATTTTAAGTAAGTGAAACTTGTTTTTTGTCCGAAGATTGCTATAGTTTTCCTGCAGCTGTTGATCTTTGTAACACCCTTCACATTTCATTAGCGAAGAAGAAACTATGTTTAGATCGTTAGGAAGCCATGAATTATTAATCTGAAATGTGCAGGCACTTGTATACATAATATCTTAATTAGGAGAGCATGAGAACCTTGTAAACCTTGTAAGCCCTTTAGCATAAGAACTATCACTGATATTACTAGGAGTTTTGTTTCATTGAACGCACATGGTACTGCATTATCCTTGCTACAATGTCAGTTACAAGTTTCAAACCGTTCTTATGCACGTTTACTTAATTTCTTTACAGGCAAGGGTATACATTGTTAATTAACACATGGAAAAGGTATGATCTTCTCAAGCAATCCATATCTCACTATACACGCTGTCCTGGACTAGACTCGATTCACATAGTATGGAGTGAGCCTGATCCTCCTTCAGATCCTCTTTTGAAATTTCTGAATCATGTTATAAAGGCAAATGTTGGAGCTGGTAGAAAAATCGAGTTAGCATTTGACATAAATGAGGAAGATAGTCTCAACAATAGATTCAAAGAAATCAAGAATCCCAGGACAGATGCTGTTTTTTCTATTGATGACGATATTATATTTCCTTGCTCATCAGTAGAGTTTGCCTTCAGTGTCTGGGAAAGTGCACCAGATACAATGGTGGGATTTGTACCTCGCGTCCATTTAATCGATCAATTGGTACGTCTTTATTATGTCATTCAGATTTTTACATGTTGTGGTCTATGCTGCCTGTTATGTTTTGTTAAATGTTGGATAATTTAATCAATTTTAAGTCAAAGACCCATGGGACGTGCATGTATATATAAGTTCTCCTTTTAGTTGGTGAATGGAGTTGGATCGCTTGTTCAAGTTAACTTCTACAAAAAATGTTTCATTGGAACTGACAAGTTGTTAAGACGTTCTTTTCAATCAACACAACTGTTCTATCTTGGTTTAATGTTTAACTTCCTTGACTACATCAATTGCCAAATTGTCATGGCATACTACCAAATATTGAACGTACTTTGTTTGGTCGACAATATTTTCCATACAAGTCTAATATGTCCACTTGTCTGCACCAAGTCCAAACATGATGACATGTTAAGATGTTGAGTCGCAATCTGTAAAGTTGCATGTCTATGATATAAGTGTGTACATATTAGACCAGCGCTGGAATATAACATTGATATAGTCCTTTCACCTTCTTCAGCTTTTATGACAAATGTCTGTTTGTGCTTAGTTTTTGCTGCCGGAATCTATACATATTTCTCTCATTGGTTAAGATTATAAATATAAGAGGCATTGTTGCGAGTAAACCAAGTGAAGACGAACAATCATACAAACTCAGAACACAGATATTCCTTGGTTCAACCAATAGGGTTACATCCACAAGCAGCAGCAATAAGTTTCATTACTAAGGAAGAACATTTTGCATAATTAATCCAAAAGCAGATGGAGCATTTATATCGTCCAACAGAGATATAATTCTATAAGGACTCCCTTTGCTTTGGTGGGAGCTTTAACCCCAATTGTTGTAGGGATCCAGACTCAATCACGACCACATGTATTTGAGTAATGATCCAGGATTTCTGACCAGGGTGTGTATTTCCTTAACAAAAAATTAAGATGTACTACAATAACAAATTTTTACACTACAAAACACTATACCTAGCGAACCACATAGGTCTCCCCCTGTTTTAAGTTAGAAGAACTCTAGACATATCAACACTAACAAGCCTCATGTGTAGACGCGAACGGAAAATAGGACTAGGCTGCTAGAAAATAGAATATATATATATATATATATATATATATATGCAAATCACAAGAATTTTTGTTGTTCTTTCTCCAGAGTTGGGTAGCTCCTACTTATGTACTAGAAGTAGAAATCCTATCTGATATATACATCTATTTTCCTTTTGTAGAAAGAAAACAAAGATTCCTATGTATATGGTGGATGGTGGCCTGTTTGGTGGACGGGTACATATAGTATGATACTCTCAAAGGCATCCTTTTTCCATAGAAAATATCTACGTTTGTACACTAATGAAATGCCTGCATCACTCAAGGAATACGTGAAGAGGAACAGGTATACTTTTAGATTGTTCCTTGTGATTTAATACCCACCTTTTGCAATTTTGAACACTTCACCCATTTCCAATGAATCCAACAGGAATTGTGAGGATATTGCAATGTCGTTCCTGGTTGCTAATGCCACAGGTGCCCCTCCTATATGGGCAAAAGGTAATTAAACCTAATAACAACTTGCATTTCATACCGTGAACGACTTTTTCTTAACGATTGTATTTTTTTTACGAACTAACCATCATTCTTTAAAAAATATCAAGAAAAACATGATAGGCTGTAGGAATGTGCAGAGTTGGAAATGGAATAGAACCACAGTACTTTGACCTTTTTTTCTTCCAAAATCGCATATTTTTGCATAGTGTAATGCATCTTTTTCCCCCACAAGAATGATCTTTTGTTCGCAGTTAAAAGTCAAGTGCGGTGCTACAAAAAGTCAATCCCATGTTCTTTTAATTGTGAACCTGCAATGGGAATTTGAACTATTGGCTTTCATGGGATTACCACCACACTTTACGGAATATAATTGGACAAAAACTTGTTATCCCACGTTTGGGCCTATATTAAGACCGGGACAAGACAGGAGTTAGTGGGACAAACACCAAATTAGATGAAATAATATTTTTAAAGATGGGACAAGATTGTTAAATTACTAAGCTACTTGTCACAAATTAAAACCTTAAAGACTGCTTAATTCTTTCACCCACCTACCTCACTCTCACCCTTCCGTCAAGTCCCGACAAAATACCAATCGTGTACAGAAAATGATTCTTCTTCTGTGAAAGTTTATTTATACCAACTTGATGCTTCTTCCGTCCATAATTTCTTTTGGCATGTAGTTTAGTGAGACTCTATGACTAATAATCAAATACTCTTAGCATGGTTTCATGATACTCCTCTGCCAATCTTTTCTTTCGCTATGCCAATTTCACGTGGTCTTTTTTTCCTTCCTCTTATTTCTGTATTTCTGCGAGTGTGTCGGTTGTTTCTAAATAGTACGATATTTTCTAATGGTAACTATATTGTTTGCTGTAACATAGGCAAGATTTACGAGATTGGATCCACTGGAATTAGCAGTCTGGGAGGCCATAGCAACAAAAGGACTGAATGTATCAATAGGTTTGTATCTGAATTTGGTAGGATGCCGTTGATACCGACCACTGTGAAGGCTGTCGACAGCCGTGCTACCTGGTTCTGGTGACACTATAACCTTTTATTTTCTTACTTTTTACTAGTTTACCACTCATTTAGTACGATATTAAGACGTAGCTAATTATGTATGTTATATTTGTCACTCATTTTAACGTTTGTAGCAGCCATTAATAGTTTAGTCAAACCATCGTGCGTTAGCATCCGTATGGAACCTGAAGCTTAGCCTGTTATTTTGTACCATTTGATGTAACAACATATTTTAGATGAAAGATGGAAGCCTTCGTTAATTGGTTCGATTGGTTATATGTAGTTCTGCTTTCAACTTTCGAGTTAGTTTAAAATGGGCAAATCAGTTTTATCCATCTGATATAAAAATCGATCATATTTATTTAGCGTTTTATACATTTTCCCCCCTCAGTTGTGGGTAATCAAATTGTTCAAACGCATTTTTATCGTGGTCCATGTTGATAGATCAATCCATACACAAATATGAGAACATTATGGGGTAGAGCAATACAACATGGCGAGTTCAAAAAAAAAATATTGCATTTCTATTTGGGCCATTTTTTCATAATCTAAATGCAGTCATGTTTAGAGGCAGATTGACCTATTTATCTATATTTTGGTTGGAGCTATTGTTTGTTGGATCCATTTTGTAATTTGCAGGTTATCAAATTGGATCACAACTTTGCTTGCATCATCTTATCTATACAAGTCCACGTTACTCCGATTGGACCCATTTGTATTTGCATCGAATCTAAGCTTTTTATGAAAAACCTTTTCAAATATGGTTTTTAGTGTTCCGTCATAAGGCGTGTGTTGCAATTTTTATATTGCACGTGTCTTTTCCCATTTAACAAAATTGCCAAATTGTAACGATGTGATGCCAAGGCTTTTTGGTTATGGTTGGTTACTACTTTGGTGATATATTTGGGAACTAAAGACCTGGATTGAAAACCATTAGCTTCAGAGCTGGATAAATCATGTGACATTATTTTTTAATAAAAAACTGGAAATTGGAATGGAATAATAATACAAATTCATAGAAATTGAAGTAACAAATATTAATGTAAGCTTGAGAGATTTAATAATCGAGTGAATGTCCCTTGGCTTTGAGTTTTTTTATAAGTATATAATATTTATATACAACAAATGTAACAAATAAACTCACACACCATTTTCTCTTATGGTGAGGTTTGAACCTCTGACATTTTAGGAGGCCAAAGACTATGATACCGCTAGGATAAAGACCATTTGGTCCCTTGGCTTTGAGTTAGTGGTGTACAATCGTTAGATTGGTCAATTTTAAACAACCGAACTTAATGATCACGGTTTAAAATTCTTAACCCGCTCAAAACATTTTAAAAGTATAACTTAACCCAAACCATGCGGATTGGATTAAGTTTGGTTCGAAACACCTTGTTGATATTACACATACGACACTTGTTTGATTCKATTCGATTCGAGATTGTCTCTCAAAAGAATCACTAACATTGATATTAGATATACGTCAAGATTAATACGTACTTTTTCAATTTTTCAATGCTAGACATTGAAATAAAAATAACAATATCCATAATTTTTTATTACAATTTAACTTGCAAGAGGGGATGTTAGAAAAATCCTTGTATAAAATATGTAGACTTCAATATGACGCGAGAGTGGAAATGTAAAGTGACCAACGACAGATATTTGCTCCATTTATTCAGGGTTATGCAAATCGCCCGCAACCAACAATGGTGTCTGCCGGAGCCTCCACCTACCGGGATCGGACATCGGAGTTTCGATCTCTATCCGACACATTGAAGAAATTTGGGCGAATATCTGCTGCCAATCCAGATCGAACATATCAGCACAACGATCCATCTACGTCTTCTAAACTACCGCTAACTCCTTCTTCATATCGATCTGAATTCAACAAGAAGGCTTCTCGTATTGGATTAGGCATCCATGAAACCTCCAAGAAAATTGCCAGACTCGCCAATCGTAAGCATTGGTGACTTTACGCATCTCCTTTTGTTAAACGTAGGGTTTGAGATTCTATTTATCATTTTCCATGATTCAATCCAATTTTTTATTACTTGCCCTCTCTTTTGAACTATTCTCGTGTGGATTAAAATCTTTGTTTCTATGTGCATATAGATCTTTATTCAATTAATAACAAGTGATCATACCTTTTTAGCGAACTAGCGGGATACATTATGGTGCAGTACCAGCAATCCTTTCTTATTTGAATTTGTAAGGATGACCAAATAGTTAGATGCCGATATGTAGCGCCGACCCATATATGTTGCTCAAGGAGCACTTAGATGTTTCAATTGGTTTCTGCAACTTCTCAGTAGGATCTTTTGAGAGTTGGCAAATAATGACATAGATTCAGAGGCCATCAGATTATACTTGCTTATTTTCTGGTGATGGTAATACTACGTCATAAAATAGAATCGTCTGAGAGGCGGTAAGTTGTGATGTTATCTAGAGGCAATTAGATTATGCCTGTCTATGCTCTGCAAAGGTTGGTAAAAATTGACAGTGATCCAAGACCATCAGATTATGCCTGTTTATGTCCTGGTGAAGTTTATAATGTATAAGCCACCCATGCAATGCATCACCACAACGGGTTAGATAATTAGTTATGAGATCACAGTTAAAGGGTGAGAAATTCTTTATTCTCTATTGATGTGAGCTTCAATGTGACTAAAACAGCTTCTTAGTTCTTTATCCCTTGGAGTCCCAACCACTTCGGTTTGATTCTCGTTTATCTGGCTATTGGTACATGGGATTTATTATTGTTGTTGATAGGAGAGGATTAGATAACGTGCCATATTTCCACGGATAGGAAATAACATTGAAAGATCAGTTATGGGTTGGAATGATTCTATTACCATATATCATTATTAAGCCTTCCATTTGTGTTGCCAATTGATTGATCATGGAGGATCAGGTAGCAATTCTTTAGTCTAGAGCTGAGGAGTCAGACCGGTAGCATGTCCGTCATAACGTACTGCACGTTTAGCTTGACTATAGTTTCAACACTTTCACCTACTATTCATCAAATATTGTTGGTTTCTGATGTGATCATTCAACTTGTTTGCATCATATGCCAGCACGCTCAAAAATATTATTGGAAGATGTTCCGTTCTAAATCATGAAAAATCTTGCTAGCCTTGTGAGGATTATCTATTGAATTGCAGTTTTTTTGGTTTAATGTTGCTATACTAATGACTAGAGTTCCAAAAGCTTGGCCAACGTACATTTCTTAACATCTTTATTGGGTGGACATGCAGTGGGTAAAAAGTCATCGATCTTTGATGATCCCTTGAAGGAGATTCAAGAATTGACGGCCTTGATAAAAAATGATATAACAGCCCTAAATGTAGCTGTTTCTGATTTGCAAACTCTTCAGAACATGGAAATTGCTGATGGTGATTATTCAGAAGACAGAGTTGTCCATTCTACTGCTGTTTGTGATGATTTGAAGAACAAGCTCATGGGAGCTACAAAGAAGTTTCAGGATGTATTAACAGCAAGGAGTGAGGTTTGTATTCATGGTGTACTTTGTTTCTTTATTCTCCTCTTTTGTGGTTACAACTGCAGCAATCAGGCCTCATCTCCCTCACACTTCTGTCATTTCATCCTTGTGCTTACGGCAGAACATCAAGGCTCATGAAAATAGGAGACAAATCTTCTCTACAAATATATCAAGAGGGAACCCGTTAAGGCAGCAAACAGAGAATGTGATGGAGCCACCTCCTTGGTCGAGCCCATCTAGATCATCTGCAAATCAACCATCTGAGTGAGTCTGATGATTTTATTTGGATTTGTATGGTTGTTAATGGCATATTAATATAAACTAATTGAAGTAGGAGAAAATGGAGGCAATATCCCTCCACATGATAATATTACATAGGGTTTTACAAACATTGGCCGTGTTGAGAAATAGATGTATCATTCTGTTGCAGTGTAGTAGTACTTAGTATAATGTTTAATGCGTTTTAGTGTTGTTTTGGAGGGGAGAACATTTATATATGTGTGCGGAAGTAGTTTGTATAGACATATTGCTAGCGGTTGACTAGCACTTAATATGATTTTAAAGGTGTTTTTAATGTCATTTTTGAGGGCGGAACAGTCATGTACGTGTCAAAGTAGTTTGTACGTAGATAATGATATGACAACTTTGATGATGATACTTAAACTTAATTGGTCAGTGAAGATCTAATACTTCTAGCATAATACTACAACCAAACTCCTACAGTTAACCTGGTTTGATCATGTGTCTATTCGTAGGGTTGTCACTCAGTTCATTGTTGCTCTTAGCTTTATTGTCTTTTTGCTTGTGCTGACGCAATCTTTCCAAGGAACATTAGAAATTTTGACATGCTTACAAAGTCAATATAAGGGTGGTGTTATTCACTAACAAAGGATTCAACATTCAAGTAACCTCATGTTATGCATGCAAAAAAGAGCATTCATTCAGCATATAAATGTCATTGATACTAGGTGTCTACCTTTTTTTTGTCTTGTACCTGATATATCATTTTACAAAAGAGTGATTCTCCTTTTATTTGCCTTAATGAGCTTTGTCATTCTCAGATCTTCAGGAAGTGGAGTTCAAGTGGGCAACCAACTAAGGTATATATATATATATATATATATATATATATATGTATATTTATTTTTTATATTGTCTGGTCTTTTGTTTGAGCTTTTTTATAATTATGACTTTGTGCCTTCCCCTTTATTTCGTCTGACCTTATTCTTTACTCATTTCTATTGTCTATTATTAGCACTAGAAATCCTAATAAACTTCTTGTTGTACGAAATGTGTAGTCCGTGGCTAAATTTATTATTAGCTATAGTGTCCCACAAGCTACTTGTGGACGCAAACTTCTGTAATCAACTAAAATAAGGGTGATCTGATTCTTAATTAGGATATACAATCTTAATCTTTTGACTTCTCAAGAAACTGAACAGCATAAATCATTAAACATAAAATAGTTTCTGCATATCTTAATGTTAATTTCATTTTAGTTATCCTTCCTAGAAGTGAGATAAACATAGGAAGCCCATACCTTTATAGTTGGATTTGGTAGAGGAGGAAGCGATGGAAGTTGAACCGTGGCTTTGCTTAGGGAAAAGAGACCCACATTCCATTCGTAATGTTGTTAACCAATATGTATATTAGAAAATATCGTGTCCAAATACTCCCTCCATCCTACAAAAATGGCAACATTTCCTTTTTCTGGACAGTGTCCAAGTGAAAACTGCCTATTTGCCCATTATGATCAATGCACAAAAATTGATGGTATTGATTTGAGTCCACACTTTCCTTAAACTATGTGCCGAGTCAAATGTTACAAACGGATCTGTAAGAAACAAAAATTGCAAATGTCTAAATGCATGAGTTTATGTATGATACTGTGGTGTGCGAGACATGAACACATATGTGTGTCTTTTTATAGACCTGTTCGTTTATTTTTCTGTTTGTAGATAACATGTATTATATTCTATCAATGCAGACGAAGGTTAGCTGCTGATACTACTCCTTCCCAGCATATGGAAGCGTCCATGTTGCAGCAGCAGCAGGTGGTTCCGCAACAAGAGAACTATTCTCAAAATCGTGCAGTTGCTCTACAGAGTGTTGAGTCTACAATTACAGAACTGAGTGGGATTTTCACAAATTTGGCTACAATGGTTGCTCACCAGGGGGAGTTGGCTATCAGGTTGGTTCATCCTATCCATAGTTTACTTTTTAGAATGAACTCCCTCCATGCCATGAAAATCTCAACATTTTTTTTTTCTGGAAACTTGCGCATAGTTATTTATCAACTGTTAGAGCCACCCAGAAACCCGACCAACCCAAGCAGACAATAACCTGATATAGCTGAAACCACCAATTAATTGGGTTAGGCCCAGCTGCAAACCGAAGTTGTTAAACGTCAACAAGTGTTAGCTCCTGTGACTTTCAAAAACCCAAGTGGGTTTAGCTCTGCGAATTTTGAGAGGCTTGCAAAATCCCTCCATTACTTTCGTAAGATTCTTGGGATGGGAATTAAATGGACATTTTCCATAAACTATGTCCAAAGTGAAGATTGCAAATTTTAAAAGGTGAATTGACAAATGATGATGAATGATGTATCAGGATTGATGACAATATGGAAGAAACTATGTCGAATGTTGAAGGTGCTCGTGGAGCTCTTTTGAAACATTTAAACCGTATATCATCAAACAGGTGGCTATTAATCAAAATATTTGCTATTTTGATATTCTTTCTCATTATATTCCTATTTTTCCTGGCCTAGTTAGTACTCAATAATATGTTTGTTTTGTTGTTAGAAAAAACATATTCTATAGCTTTGCTTGTTTGTTTCTAAAGAGCATCGTTGAGAGTGCCTGTGTGTATTGTTTTTTACACTCTAAATGGTGTTTACTTTTTATAATGATGTAGTTGTGTCACTGCAAATAACAGTGTTCACATGGAAAGAGAATAAACCCAGTAAAAGAGGGTTTTTGTATTGTGAAGCATTAGAGTCCTCGATTGTCACTTGAAAGAAAAATAAAATCAATCCGTTAGTTCAAAACCGTAATTCTCAAGGTAAATTGTTGTCGGTGACTCCATGCAGACGGAGGCCGTGAGTCGTCAGTGATGGTGTTTGTTTCTAATTACGTGAAAAAGGTGGTGTTGGGTTTAATAATTTGTTTTGTATTTTAAACATAATCTTTCAATTTACTATGGACAAGCGTATTAAAAAAAATTTAAAACTGTGTTCAAAATTAAGATTAAAGAGAGTAGGGAATTTTTCTATAAATTTTTTGGACATTTCTCTAGGAACTCTATTTGGTTATTCCCAGCCTTCAACCAACCAATGCCAAACGGAGTAAATGAAAATAGAGGGCAAAAGAAATTTTGTTACTTTATGAAAGATTTCAGTAATTCTTTTCTTTATTTAGAAAAAAAAAGTATATCCAATTCATATTTTAGAAATTTTGACATTAATTATGTTATTAAAATATTTAATATTTAAAAAACTTTCAATGAAAATAATAATAAATTTAATTTTATCAGTATAAATAATAAAAAATGATTGTAAAATTTAATAATTTCTTATTTTCTCCATTTAAAGTTTTATTTTGAAAAAATCTATTAGATACATACATTATAGTGTTATACATACAAGAGGTTCTAAAATTTCCAAAAATGGTAAAAGAGAGCCCAGTTATTCGGATCTTGAACTTAAAGTAAGAAAGTCCGACGGGCTGAAGCCCAATAAGATAAGGTTTGCTTTGCATCGAAAGAAACAATGGGTTCCATTCCATCCTTGCGGGAATAGTTATGGCGGGTAAACAACAATACTCCAGATTCCATTTCAACTTCTTTCCTTCGTTTTTTGAAGATAAGATTTTGAAATATCTCAGGATTTCCTTTCCCTCTCCGCCTTTAACAACCCATACACCCAAAACCCTCCACGGTTTCACTTCCATCTCTTCTTAAACCCTCATGACGCCTGCTTTTTAACATGAGTTTTTCAGCGACTATGACTACGTCGGCGTCTTTTCGCGGCAACTTTATTCCTTTATCGCACTGCAGTTCGTGTTCTGACCTCCGATTCCAACCCTTCATTTCTTCTTCTATCAATCATGGCCGTCGGCGGAATAGTTATCCTCTGAAATGCGTTTCCGGGTAAAATTCGTTTATATTAATCGTACACTGTTCTTAATTTCCTTAGAGATCGTCTGAGGCCATCTGAGGTGAGGTCCGGTGGGTTGTTTTTGTGTACCGATTTCTGAATTTATAGTTTGAATTTTGTTCCAAGTATAATGTTATGATCCAAATTTAGGTTAGTGGTTAGAGGCAACCGAGTGATAAAATGCAGAGCGAGTGAAACGGAGACTGGAGGAGGCGACGATAATGATAAAGTGATGCATCTTTTGCCTTTTTGTGTTTACTTATGTGGTGTCTCCCGATATGCCGAACCCTTATTTTGGTTATTGTGGTTAAAAGGCTTTAACAAATTGATTTCTAGTTTTATTTTTGAATGGTTTAGTATAAAAGCAAACCAAACAAACCCATTAATACACGGCAAATGTAATGTTTGGAGGTGGTTTCTTGAATAACTCCGGATTGTAAAACAAAATTTAAAGAAGCAAGATAACAGATGAAACCATTATAAACAGACTATATTGACCAAATTACAGGTTTAGCTTCTTCTTAGTAAGCCTAAAAGCTTAGCATTAGGCACGAATAGTGCGGTAATCATCGTTTTTTTGTTCATAATTGAATGGGTTCTAACAATGATGACAACATTGTTAAGAAGATCTGAACATTGCCACCGCGTGGTTGAATACTAGAATCACAGTGGCCCAATAATTAAAGCCATAAAACTGCAGCAATCAATTGTCAAAGCCATAAAACCACATTTACCAAAATATGAGTTTTGGGTTGATTATTCAAATGCAATTTTGTTCATTCAAATTATATCTAGTTACAAGCTTGGATTTTTCTAACATATTGTCTAGGAAAGGGAAGTGCATGAAGATGTTGAAATTGCAGAATCAACAAATCCAAGTGGTCCGGTCATTGATAAAGGAAAAGTAACCACCTTGATAGCTATAATCAATTTTCAGAAATGGGCGTTAGATTCTTGATTTTAGAAGTAACTTGTAAGCTTTCTTGTTAGGATAAGGGCCAACTTAGTCAGTTGGAAGCACTCAACAAATTTCTGGATGGTACCAAGGCCGAAGGACTCAGTGAGGTATTTCCAGTTCACGTGTCCGAAAAGTAAATATGTAATTGGTATTTTGTGCTGATCGAAAATTGTTCTTGTTAGGATAAAGGCCAACCTACTCAGTTGGAGATGCTTAACAAGTTACTAAACAAAGATGGTGCTGATGCTAAAGCCAAAGAAGGCATTGAGGTATTTCCCTTTTCAGAGTGTTAATTCATGGAATTCAATGAGAACATTGTATTTTTACTGAGGGAGAACACTCATTATGTACCACAACAGATAGGCCAGTAAGATGTCAAACATATAAGATAAAAAAATCACTTATTGTCATTTCTCAATTAATGATACTTCATTTAGCTACTTAATAAGATAAGAAGATCCATAAAAAGATCAAATAATGGGTGGGGAAGGTCTATTAGAACATAATATTTGTGGGGAGAACCTTAAACATAGAGTTAACTTAATGGACTCTCGTGGAATTAATGGATAAGCATGATTAAATCTAGATAACTTAATTCTATATTCTAACACTAAGCATTCTTAATCTAGTAATTTAGTCAGTATGTGAGATATTAATTTGCCATGTGTTGTTATTACTTGTTAGGATAAGAGTCAGCTTGGTCAATTGGAGACACTCAACAAGTTATTAAACAGTGATGATGCTGAATCTAAGGGCAAAGGACTCTCAGAGGTACTTCCCTTCTGAAGCATTCTGAATTTTACTTGCAGCTTGTGTTTGCCATGGTTTTGTTTTACAACTCAGACATTGATGAAACTGCAGCCATTATAGGGTTTATAGTGTCTTGCAAGAGGCCTGGATTGGCAACTTGCTTGGTGAATAAATCATGTGTATTGAATGTGGCAAAAGCATAGCTAGATAATTAATGAAGTTCAGTGTTCTGGTCATCTTGCTATGCATGTAGCTATTGTGAGTTCAGAGTTGCATGTTCTAACAACGTGCCCACAGTATCCTATATTCTTATTGAAGCAGTCTGAAACACACATGCGTGCCTTAATGCAATTCACACAGCTTTTGACAAATTGGTGACAAGCCTTTGCGCAAAATTGAGTTTCCTGAAGGCTTATCCTGCTTACTTCTTACTTGGTCATCATCCAAGGCCCATCATGAGTTTTGAGATTCATCTGAAGAAACATTATAGCAGATACCAAAATGTGTTTGACTTTGTGTCTGGAGAATCGCTGCAAAACCATTATACAAGAAAAATACAAGCTCTGAAGTTTTGCATATTTTGATCTCTTATACTATTTTGTTTTAAAACAGGATGCTGATAATATACCGGTTACGAGTGGATCACCCCTGCCAGGTGTGAAGGTGAATATTTCATATAATGTCCTTTCCACTTTTTAAGCATATGGCGTTGTTTCTCTCTTTTAACTTCCAATGGTTCTTAACAGCCACAGCAGCTTGATGACTTAATCATGATCCCGAAGGAAACAGTCGACATCCTGAAAGACCAAGTGTTTGGATTTGACACTTTCTTTGTGACTAGCCAGGAGCCCTATGAGGTGATTGAATACATGACCGTCTTTTATTATTAGGAAGCATTTAAATTGGTATCACAAGAGTTTCAATGTTTTCGACTAATTACAAGTTTGGAAATATCTTATTAAAAATAGTATCCATTTAGAGAAGCAAAAAAGTAGGTAGCCGATGTGGAACTTGTTAGATGCCGGCTCCGATACCATGTTAGAATATGTGGTATGCTATCCCCTATTCTCTTTGTAAAAGAGCCTTTGTAGAGAGAGGGGAGACCCGCAGTGGTGGAACCAAAATTTGGGTCCGGCTGGTCCTATTAATGTTATTATACAAATTCATAAACAAAATTCAAATATATAAAAATCCCAATCCACAATCTAGGATCTGCATGAAGATCGTCTAAGTCTTGTCTGCCTAATCTATAGCTGTTTTTCACTTTGTTAGATACGTATCCATAACTGTTAAAAGTTAAACTAATTAGTCAACTAAAAGGATACAACGCCTTACTTAATTCTCAAATGTAAATATTAAGATTTAAGAACAGAAACAAGAACTAGAACATTATAAAAAAGACATACAAAACTATATAAGAAAAACGTGTTTATTGTAAACTTGTTCGGTAGTTAAGAATTAGGTTGTCAACACAGTTCCAACTTTTGTTTGGAAATGAGAAGATGAACTACTGTAAATCATGTAATTTGAAATAGGGGTTTACTATATCCATTGGTTAGCAACTAAAAACAAATAAATAAGCAGAAAAAATAACAAAAGCATAGAAGCAAATCAATATTAAACAAGGTAATGAGATGCTTCATACTTTGGTCCTGGGTTCCAAGAAATCAGGGAAAATAGTTTTTTTAAACACAATTTAAAAAAGAAAAGGAATATAATAATACTTATAAAATGTTATGAAAATAAAGATGATTGGAGTTTTGTAGGAGGAAGTATACAAAAAACGGTTCTTATTGAGAAGCTAGGCCTAACGTATATACATGTGAATTGGTCCATGACTAGCCGATGTGGGACTCTATCACTGACCAGTCAATATGTTTTCTGTTCCCCCAAAGTTGATTTCCCTTATGGGCACGGTTGGATGCTCTTTTTTCCGAGAAATTCTTTTAACCACCCTTTTTGTTGGTGACTCTGAACTAGTTCCATCTCATTCATCATGTCTCTGTCATTAGAAAACGAGTCTTTTATCTGATGCTTCTGTCTGTTACAGGGTGGAGTACTGTTCAAAGGGAACCTGCGAGGACAGGCTGCAGTGTGTTATAGAAAGATAGAAAAAAGGCTACAGGTTAGTTTACCCACATATGATCTCTTTTCACCATGATAAAGGTTAACTGTGTGCATTCTACTCATTTATTTTGAGCATACTCTTTGTGAAGGAGACTTTCGGGGATCAATATAAGCTTTTTCTTCTAATCAATCCTGAGGATGATAAACCTGTGGCAGTTGTGGTTCCCAGAAAGACTTTACAACCTGAAACAACTGGTATTATGTTGTCAAATTAGAAGGAAGATCCTCTTCTAGAAATTGCTGGAGTTGAATCTAAATCCTCATTTTTTTCCTTTACAGCTGTCCCCGAATGGTTTGCTGCTGGATCTTTTGGATTAGTTTCAATATTCACATTACTACTACGTAATGTGCCAGCATTGCAGTCCAACTTGTTGTACGTAAATCAATCCCAGCGTTCTAATACTCTGATGTTTAGATCTATATATACAAAGATGATGTTAATGTCCCTTGAACTGAAGCTATCATGGTAACTTAGCATTTAGTGCAAAGTCTTTTTGATCATCTATAGTCAATGTTGAGTTTTTTAGACATGCATTTCATTGTTGATAGATTAATTAACGTAAATATTGCCAAGTAATGCCTTAAAATGATGACTTCCATGTGGGAATATTTATATAATCAAATGGAGCTTTTTCTTGTATTCTTCTTTGCTATCTCATCTGGAGAGCAGATCCCATTCCTTTTCTGTTTTCCAGATAGCTTCCAATTACAATGTGCCTAGTTAATGAACAAAAGCATGAGGCAAAGTGATCTTAGATAAGGAAAACGTGCCACAAAAGTTTTGCAAACTGCATTTATTTGTGCCACACCATAATATATTGAATCATTTTTATGATGTAACTTTTGTTCCTTCCCTTTGTTTCTTCCTTCTGAGAACCTGGATATAACCACCCAGTTAACAATAATCCACATTGTAATTTCCCAGATCCATTTTTGACACTCCCGATTTATTGAAGGATGGTCTTTCTGGAGCCCTTGTAACTGCACTTGCTTTGGGTGTACATGAAATCAGCCACATTTTGGTTGCCAGAAGTGCAGGAGTTAAGCTTGGGGTTCCATTTTTTGTACCGAGTTGGCAGGTGAGGTTGAGTTTCTTTGCTATATACTTAGCTCTATGTATGTGGTGCTTACTAAATCACGACAGGGAGCCTAGAGGCTTCTCTACTGTAACTTTTTTTCTTCACAATTTAGCTTTTGGTGTCTTCATATGGTGTACTTCTTGGGGAATACACAATAATTAACCGATAGGAAAGCAAAATTTGTGGGGTGAAAAGGGGAGACAAAATTATGGAACAAATAAAGAATTGTTGTCAAAGTTAAACACACAGGGAGTAAACCAAACCAAACCAAATGAGCCTAGTATATCCCGAACGGAGGTGGGGTCTGGGAGGGTGGGATATGTGTGATGTAAACTGATAGCAATTGTCGGTTGTTTATTGTAATCAAAACAGAAAATGGAATATTCCAGACTTTTGAGAGGTCTGGTTCTCTCCCAAAGAGTTTACACTCACTTTGAAAATACAAAAAACAGAATATCTCAACCCCTAACAACTCAGCCCCACTTAAAGGAGACTTGCCGCCTTATTCTACCCAAGAGTACCAAAAATACCCTTCACTTATTCACAATAACAGCTAAGACCCTTTAACAACT